AGTGAGGAGGACGGAAGACACTCACTCCGTTTGGTTGTCACAAAGGGACCGGGGCTTGACGAAGCCGCCAGGCTCCGTTCCACATGGTGGGGTCTGCCCTTCTCCCTGGGCAGCACCACTCCCACTTTGGGAGGAACTGCGCTCGGCTACGTATTTATTCTTTATTCCCCTGCGTGGAAACCGACAAGCAAGAGTATGCCCTGTCCAGCAGCTGGCTCACTTTTGTCTAACCCATCACAGAGCCCGACGCGGGGCTCGAACTCATGAACGATGAGCTCACGACCGGAGCCAAAGTTGGACGCTCAGCTGACTGAGCCACCCAGGTGCCCCAAGGCAAACCTTTTAAATATGGATCCCAGCACCTTCCATTAGCCAGGGAGACAACTTAGTCCTTGTTAGCCTCTTCATCGTCATGGTCCACAGCAGCGACCTCCCTAGGAGGCTCTGGAATGTTCTTTCTTTCCTGTGCTCAGCAGAGTGGCTACCCTAAGCAAGGGGCTTGTTCCTACAAGCCTTTCCCTCCTATCCGGTGGCTTCTTCCCTTCAACTAGGAGGGCGGTCTTGCAGGGACACTGTCCCCAACCCGTCCCCTCGGGAGGGAGCCTGGCTGGGGCTGGGAGGCTGGCTCTTTGTCTCCCCTACCAGGGAGTGCTCCGCAGCTGAAGAGAACCCCCTCTTCATTCCAGAAGTCGTCTGGGGCTCCACCGAGCACTGGCGCCTGGGGCCCTTCCCCCACCTCGGAGGCATCTAGCAGGGGGCCCCCGGATCGTCGCTCTGACGCACCTGCTGCGGCTTCAAAGCCATCGTGCAGTGACTGCTCTGTTGGACTTCCAGCAACACCTTTCCAGTACCCTGGTACTTTCCGGTGCCCTTACCCTTTTCCCAGGGTTCTGAGAGGGGCGCTCTGTATTGGGGGGAACCTACCATGTTTCCCTGAGAAAATGCAAAGGCACGCACCCCACACAATGCCAAACCACTCACAGGCATTGCAGGTGTTCCGAGGACTCCTCCACAGAGGGCCCCCACGTGAGGACGCCTGTGGGCATCACCACCCAGCCTCCAGCCCACCTTTTTCAGTGGGAGTATCCTGATTTTCCTTTGGGAAACCACCAACCCCACGTTCAGGGGTGAGATCAACCAGGCTGGGCCAGAACGTTCTCTTCCCCTGGCTGCCATGATTGGTTTTAAGGATGGACACGGCCAGGCAGACGGGCCGCCATATTGCAGAAATCTTGAGATACCTTGAATCGTAAGATGCACCATTATCTTAAGCACCTCTAAAGGAGAAAATATGCTGCCAAGTTCAATTGTACGATGCCATCAACTCTCACAGCTGTTAACACGTAGGGGTGGTGGGGGAAGGGTGTCTAAGAATCTATGAGTGATGTTTACTTTGGGGTTTGGGAAAGGAAAGCTATTGGGAGAAAAAGCTCTTCTGTTGAAATCCTCGAGCCAAGATTGTTTACCGCTTGGAGATTTCAGGCCATTGCCTGCCCAGTACTAAAGCCAACATCAAGGAAAGGTAACACTGTGAGCATCTGGAGCCAGCCATTCCTGACACCGGACTTTCATGAGGTAGTACCCTTTCTCTGCCAGTGTGGCCCACATCTGTGACTAGCACCATTTCTTGCAACAGACTGGCCACCCGGTGCCTCTCTTCATGTAATAGGCAGCGAGGGCCGCTGTCCGCCTGATCTCAGATGTTAGAGCACAGACAGGAGACGGCCTGGAGCTCCCACACCGGAGAGTGTCCGGTGCCGGGCCCGTGTGGGGGCGTTCTGAGCTCCTGACTTCACAAGATAATTGATAATAAAGGGAGGGAGGGAGGGAGGAGGAGGGGAGGAAAACTTGTCCAGGGTTAAGCGTCTATGTTCCCAAGAACACGGCCACCGAAGTGTAAGCTCAGGGGCAAGGATTCTGGCCTCTGAATGTCACGTCTACACCGGCTCTCTTTCTGCTGCTTGTCAACAAGAGGCCCTGATAGCACCGCCCGCCCCACCCACGCCTTTGAAAGCAGCAGCCACAGTGCTCAGCGCAGTGAACCGCCTCCGGCAAGCAGAGTCCCTGGAGAACTGGATTCAGGTTCAGTGACCTGGATAAAGAGGGTGACTCGGCTAATCATCGAAGGGGTGGGGCGGTCAGGTGGCAAGCCAGCTGTTTGCTCCGGAAGCCAGGTGTCCAACCTGTCTGTGCCTCTAGCTGTGCGTCTAGAAAGGAGATGCGCCGGCAATAAAGTCACAGCACACCTGAGCGGGGGCCCGGGTCTCTCACCCGGTGGGAGGGGAGACGTGCCTTAGGAAAGGGACAGGTGTAGCACGGGCAGATGAAGAAAGCAGCCCCCAGACTTGGGTCCTCGGTGCCCAGCTCTGTGCAGTGTGAACTGTGGCAGATCTTAACCGGAGGCTGGGACTGATACCTTTGCATCCACTACTTGCCAGGTGGTCGCCAGCCTGGATATCTTGGTCAGTAACAAGAAGATGTTTGGTGCCATATCCCCCCCACCGCCCCACCCCCTGGTTTTGACGTCATCCCAGGCTGCTGTGAGTGGGGCAGTCTGTGACCTTTAACACCAGCGCATGAGGGTGCTGCTCTGCGCCCGCTCCAGCCGGGGAGAACCACTTCTCTTCTGGAACCTCCCATCTCCACCTCCCCGAGCTGCTGGCGGAAGGCTGGTATGCCCCTCCAATGCCGCTCCGGGCTGGGGCCCAGGAGGGACTAGCTGGAGGTGTCCTAGGGGACCCTCAGCCCCAGAGCAACAGCTGAGCACGTGAAATAGAAGAGTCACCTTTGTTTCCTGCCGGGAACGAAGGGGCAGCTTTTTCTTAGAACAGGGGATCTAAGAGAAAAGTGCATGCAGTTCTTAAACCAGAAGATACTCCTAAATGAGAAAGCATGGGATAGGGATCGGGGGGAGAGGGGGAGAAATAGCCAAGTTTTCTGACACGGGAAGGAGGAAAAGTGTAAGACAGGAAGAGAAACGATGCGGTTACCTAATGGGAAAAAAGGCATGTTAAGCCAAGTAGCAGAGTCTTGATTCCTGGTATAAAACTCTTTATAAGAAGTCCCCATTCTGTGGGGCTCAGACAGCCCTGGCCAGTTCAGCCCGTGTGAGGGGACACAGCCTGGGGCAGCAGCTGGCGTGGCGGGGAGGTTCGTCACACACGCAGGGGCTGAGCAAACGTGCATGTGGTTCGGGACTGTGAGGACTAACCTCCTTGCCATCAGAGGAAGTAGACACGAATATGGATAAGCTGGAAGAAGCCCTGGGGTGTTAGGTTGTAATTGAAGGCATCGATGTGAAATTATGCATCTCGATTAGATACAAGGATCTGGGGGCACCTGGGTGGCTCAGTCGGTTAAGGGTCCAACTTCGGCTCAGGTCATGATCTCACGGTTCATGGGTTCAAATCCCGCATTGGGCTCGCTGCTGTCAACCCAGAGCCCGCTTTAGATCCTGTGTCCCCCCTCTCTCTGCCCCTTCCCCTTTCATTCTCTCTCCCCCACCCCAAAAAAATAAACTAACTTAAAAGAAAAAATAAAAGACACACAGATCTGCATGTGTATATCCATGTCAGCTACACACACTCTTTCCCTGATCCTAGCAGCTCTGGAACAATGAACACATCTAACCCCTAGATCTTGGTACCTAAACCCCACTCTTCACTAGAAGGAACCAGTCTCCTAGGAGAGACGACTGCCTCTGAGGCTGGGGTGGAGGAAGGACAAGAGGAGCCTGAACTCTCGCATCAGACAACAAGAAGTGTGCAAACAACGGCAGGGATGCATCAAAGGACACAAGAGGCGGCATGGAGCCCCCTGAACTGGCCAAACTGGGGATCGTTCGAACACGAAAATAAATGGCAATAATGAAGTAGACTGAATGGGAATCCATGACTGCATACCAGAATAAAAACTTAAAAGGGGAGAAGGGAAAGACCTACTTTATACCCAGTATCTCATCTGTGGTATCACATCTGTAATATTTATGCCAAAAATATGTAACTAAAGAAAATCCAGAGAATTAAGACAAACCTGTATTGAGGACATTCTACAAAATAACTGTACTTCCCAAAAAAGGCAAAATTATAAAAGAGAAGACTGAGGAACAGAAGACTCAAGACTCAAGAGTCAGGATAATAAAATCGGGGGGAGGGGGTGGGTCCCGGGCCAGAAACTGGTAAAGATTTGCTCGTTGCTCCCATTGGTAGTTTTTTCTGTAAAGAACATTTTTGAGACAATCAACAAAATTTGGGGATTTGGGGATTAGATGGTAGTACTGTATCGATATTAATTTTCTGATTTTCATGGGTATAATGTGGTTACTAGAAAATCCTTATTTGGGGGGAATACATATTGAAGTATTTAGGGGTCATGGGGCACACTTTCTGCAATCTACTCGGATGGAGGGAGGGAGGGAGGGAGGGAGGGATGGGCGGGCGGAGGGCAGGTGGGTAAATGGGCAGGTGCATGGATGGGTAGGTGGGCAAATGGATGGATAAACAGGTATATGGGTCAGTGAGCAGGTCAATGAAAAAGAAAAGAGAATGATCTGGCTAATGATTTAAATGTAAGTGAATGGGACTCGAGCTAATGGGTACACCAGAGTTCAATGAATGGGGACCTTAAGTGACAGGTACACCCGAGTTCTATGTATCATAACTTCCTTATAACTTGAAGCTACGTCAACATGTAAGCTTAGCAAATAAAGATAAGAATTATAAACACTTAAAAAACACATAAAAACATTGGTGTGAGGAACTTCTACCACGGTGAGATCATCTCTCTGCTGGTTCACACGCGTAGAAGGGTCTAGCTACGGAGGCAGGAAGCCGGGGCCACCCTCCACTTCCTCTGTCCCCTCACGCCACAGGTTAATTCAGCACACCCAGACCACCCTCTAGAAGGCCATCTCCAACCGCACCGCTGCCTGAACCGAAATCTCTGGTGTTCAAAAACCAGATTATTTGCACTCATTTCTAAGAAAAAGTTACCTCGCGGACTCCAAAAGAGCAAAAGGACTCAGTTTTATTGACGTCAAACAGAACTGTCTTCCACACATTCCACACAACAGTAGCATAAGGTAGTGATGCGGGAGGCATATTAAAACATAGCCGGTTCTAAGCAGTATGGATATTTCCTGTCACAGAAAAGAAGTATCTTGTCCACAGATTCATATCAACATACACGGTACGTTAACATCAATCTCCGTATTTGTGCGCCAGGCCACAGCGCACGTCTGCACACGGGCTCGCGCCCCGCGGCAAACCTACTTGACAGTTTTCGGGGGGCACCGCGGGGGACACACGAGACACAGAGGGCACAGGGCTAGAATTTTACATCCAGGACTGTGCCCACGTCCCCTGGGGCTACATCACAGAAGCCAAGGCTCCCGCACAATGTGGTCGTCTCCCAGCAGGTCAGAAAGCCCCTAGGACCCCAGAGCGGCAGCGTCCCGCACAGAAAACGGCCTCACCGAAACCCAGTACTGGAAAGAAACTAACAGGTGAGGTGGCTTGTCTAGCTCAGTAACAAGTAACACTGCTGTCCCAGAATGAAACAAGTACAAATCTTGTCCAACGCATTTTGTCTCAACACAGTTGGCGCTGGGGTTCCAAAATCATTCTGGGCAACAAGAAACGAGCAAGAGCGAGGAGCGCTGGCGGGGGATGGTGCGGCCCCTCCCACGATAGCTGACCGGAGGACAGACAACTTGGATATAAAAGGGCCGGTCGGATTTCCCGTTTGTTTGCTGTTCGAACCCAACCGCGTCTCTTTATACTCATCGTCCGCAAACCAGGCAACCCGCTGACACGAACTTTTTTTTAACAGGTTTAAGGCAACAGGCGATGCCGTGTCCGTCTATCAGACGTTCTGTAAATCAAGATTCCCACTACAGGCTTTCCTGCCCGCTGCCTCCCTGGGGGCTGCGCTCCGAGCGGTCAGGCGGCTGGGCGGGGGCCAAGGTGCACTGCACCCCACCCACGGCCCTGCCACCGACGGACCCACAGTGGGAGCAAGTAACACAAGGAGGCGACTCCGACCCGTCTTCCCCGACAGCAGCGGTGCCGATCGGTGGATGGGTCCACAGCCAAGTGCGCTCTACCCGACAGCCTTCGGAGGGAACCATGGCCGCACAGACGCCCCGGACGAATCAAGCGTCGGAAGCCGCCTGCCTCTCACGGGCCACTCGGTCCACGTCCCCGGGGGCCGCAGGCTAGGTGTTGCTTCGCCGGAGGAGCGTGGCGTCGGGGCTGTGGCTGCCCTGGAACTTGAGACTCTGCAGGTTGACATGCGCCCCGTGCCTGAGTAGCATCTCCACCGTCTCGGCGTGCCTGCCCTGGGCCGCCAGGTGCAGCGGGCTGAGCCCCCGTGCGTCGGGCAGGTCGAGCACGTCGGCGCCCACCAGCGCCTCCACCACGGCCGAGTGCCCACCGGCCGCCGCCAGGTGCAGGGCCGTCTGACTCTGCGGCCCCCGGGCCAGCACGTCCGCCTTCTCCTCCAGCAGCAGCTTGACGGTGGCCAGGTGCCCGCTGCGCGAGGCCAGGTGCAGGGCGGTGCAGCCCTCGGCCGTCACCGCCTCCCGGCCGGCGCCCCGGTGCAGGAGCAGCCTGGCAGTGCTCGTGTGCCCCGTCTCCGCGGCCACGTGCAGGGGCGTCTGCGAGAGCCGGTCGCGGACGTTGACGTCGGAGCGCAGGTCGATGAGGACGCGGGCCACGCGGTAGTGGCCCCGCTGGGCGGCCAGGTGCAGCGGCGTGCGGCCGTCCAGCGTCTGGGCGTCCACGCTGACGCCCGGCTGCCGGGCCAGCAGCCTGACGAGGGGCAGGTGGCCCTGCCAGGCGGCGTAGTGCAGCGGCGCCCAGGCGTCCTTCCCCGGCAGGCTGCCGGCCACGCCCCGGCGAAGCAGGACGCGCACGACGCCCTCCCGGCCGTGCTGGCAGGCCACGTGCAGAGGCGTGCGGCCCTCGCAGTCCGCCTCGTCGACCGAGGCGTTCTTCTCCAGCAGCAGCCGCGCGCTGAGCTCGTCGCCGTTCTGGGCCGCGAAGTGCAGGGCCGTCCAGCGGTCCTCGTCGACGGCGTTGACGCTGATCTTCCGGGCCAGCAGGAGCTCCACGACGGCCCGGGCCCGCTTCTCCACGGCCGCGTGCAGCGGGGTGGAGCCCTTCGCGTCGGGCAGGTTGGGGTTGGCGTTGTTGAGGAGCAGCCACTTGACGCACTCCTCCCGGCCGGCCTCCACGGCCACGTGCAGCAGGCTGCGGCCGCCGTCCACCACCAGGTCGACGTCCTGGGGCTGCAGGATCTTCATCAGCCGGCTGGTGTCCCCGTTCACGATGGCGTCCACCAGCTTCCTCTTCTGGACGTCCGTCGTGCCGAGATCTGTGGGCGGGGGTGGGGGTGGGGGTGGGGGGGTGAGACATGGGGCTCAGGCCGCGGGCCCCTCTGGCGCCCTGACGCGGACCACGCCTCCCTGAGCCTGAAATCACTCCAGAGTCCTCCCCGCCGCGTGGTCAGGTTCAGACGCCGCGGGGAGACGGCGGGCGGACCACAGCGGCGCTCTGTCAGCTGGCAGAGTAAAAGTCCTTCTAGCTGCACTGCAGGGGGTCGTCGTGGATAAGGACGCAGGATGCACGGCCGTCTGCGCTCAGAAAGGGCAGTGACCGCGAACTTTCCTTCGTTAAGGAAATAAACGGAAATGAGGGCGCCTGGGTGGCTCAGTCAGTTGGGCGTCCGACTTTGGCTCAGGTCATGATCTCACGGTTTGTGGGTTCGAACCCCGCATGGGGCCCTGTGCTGACAGCTCGGAGCCTGGAGCCTGTTTCGGATTCTGCGTCTCCCTCTCTCTCTTTCTGCCCCTCCCCACTCACACTCTGTCTCTCTCTCAAAAATACAATAAACATTAAGTACAAAGAAACAGAATGAAGGACACAGACCAGGGGGGTGTCCCAGTCCACCTGAGAGCTGACAGCTCCCACAATGGGGACACGCTTCCAGGGCCACCAGCCGGCCCCCCGCCCCCGCCTCCAAAGGCAGCCCCCGGCTCTAACATAAAACCCCCGCTACGCTGTCTGGGCTCTGATTCGCAGGAAACAAGACCTCCCTCCGTCACGTGAAACATTTCTCAAGGGAACCTGCACAGGTGGGTGGGGGGACAGGGTGGAATTCAAGAAGACACGATCCACCCGGACTGCGGTGAGCCGGGAACCGATCGTGGGCAAGCACGAAGATGCCACGTGAGAGTATCAGACCCGAGGCAGTTCCACAACACACTTCTCCCCCCGAGATGGCCATTTCTTTCCTGTTCAACCTCATCGCCCAGCGCTTACCGCCAGTCAAGCTGCCCTGCTGGGCCCTGCCTGCCCCTGTCTTTGTAAGGTGTTTTCTCAACCCCAAATCCACTCTTTTGCCCCCAAGATTCCACTCTAAAAATCCCAGGAGGCTCAGAGCATCCAGGAAAACCATTTCCTTCCAGAAGGAATTCCCTGATCTGCCAGGAAAAACAAACTTCCCCTCCTGCTGGGGTCTATGCTCTTCCCATGACCTCTGGCTCTCACCCACCACCCCCATACCATCATTACCCTGAGCACGAACACCTGTATTTTCCTTAAAGGGCTGCGGGACCACATCTTATGCTTCCTGGGGGGCAGCACAGGAGCTATGGTACAGGGCCAGCCCCAGAACCCGGGGGCCAGCATTTGGGGCAGGGGTAAGGGCAGAGAAAAGGCCCCTTATAAGAGGAAAACCCGTCGAAATCAACATAAACGTATAAGATCACCCACTGAGAAGAACCCCACCCCAACAGGGAGACGGGACCACGGTGTCCTGATGTCCAGGGACAACTCGAGCGCCCTACAGCATGTAAAGCAAAGGGGGAGCTCACAGACGAGAAAGTCAAGGGGTGTCGGAGAAAGGGGGTACAGGGCTGGTCTCTACGAGAGAAAGATCTGCAGGGCGCGAACTTAGAATCATCGGACTCACTTGCTAGAACCCAGGGTCCTCAAGCTGCAAACCTGACGTCAGCCCCTACACCTGGTGTTGGCACACGTGGGAGCCTCGTGTGCAGCCAGGCGGCCTGGCTCGCTCCCCGCGCCCCTACGTGACGCCCCCAGAGCCACCACGTGGGCCACGCGGCCAGCGCCCGTCTCTATATTCGCGCTCAGTGAGCTAGCTACGCCGCTGCCTCCCTGGCTGGCTAGAAACAGGAGGCAGAACATACAGAGCTGGCTCCGGAAGCTGGACGCCACATTCTCTTAGTTGCCCACGGACCCCCACAGCCCCCTTATCCGGCCCGTTATTTCCCAGGATACGGGGTCCTCACTTACCGCCCGTTGAAGGCTCCCGCTCGAAAGACAAGGACAGCGACCCTCTGGAGGAGAAGGCGGAGTCGACAGAAGACACCCCCGAGAGCCTCTTGCCGCTGCCGGCCGACGGCAGCGTGGACTCGGAGCAGCTGCGGCTGAGCTCCTCGGGGCCGCCCAGGTCCTGCGAGGCGCCCGCGTCCAGCTGGGATAGGAGCTCCGAGAGGCTGTAGTTGCTGTCGAAGGTCGGGGCGGAGGCCCGCTTGAGCGGTGAGCACGCGGGCTTCTGCGAACCAAGCAGAGGGAGGAGGGTGAGACCCGCCCGGGGCACAGGCACGGGAGGCGGAGGGCGAGGGGACGCTGGGTCCCCAGCCAGCCAGCCAGCCAGCCACACACGGGGCGCTCCGGGCCACCCGCCACACGCACGGGGAGCCCGCAGATGGGAAGAGACATGCTGTGGGGAGAGACTGACCCCTCACAACAAACAGGAAGCCCAGCAGCGTGGCCCCAGCCCGTCACCGCGGGGCCCACGTGCAGGTGACCTGGATGACAAGTGGACCACGACCGCGCTGTGTGGGCGTGCACCCTGGACACTGGCCATGCCCCCCTGGGCAGCGAAGGAAGGAGATGGGACCGGGGCAGGGTCCCTCCCCTGCACGCCTGCACCCCTTCCTGAGCCGTGTGTCTGGCTGGGGGGCCGCGTAGGGGGCGAGTGCAGAGATGGGCCCAGCTACAGCATCAATAGTGCGCTCCAATCTCCAGCGTGCACGGGGGGGGGGGGGGGGGGCTTCCAAGGGTCTCCCCGACGACTTCCAGAAAGGCACGTTTCCGGAAGGTCATTAGACCCGAGGGTGCTCACGACCCTTCCTGACTCCCGCCTGCTGTCCCCGGTCCTCCGTCCCCTCAGGAACCACGAGCTGCTCTGACTTGGTGGCTGGATGCTCCGAGTCACCCCCGGGAGCCTGGCACCTTGCTCCCCCTTACCAGTGGCCAGGCCGCCCCCCACCCCTGGCACCTCTGCTTCCCGGACTCACACACGCCCCTCTCTGTTCAGACTGGGCACACCTTAAGCGTGGCCTTATCCCCCAGCCTCACGCGGATGGCCCGGGGGAAACGGCCTGACCTCACCTAACACGTCAGGCAGTTTGTGAGACTTCCCTTTACGCGTCTGCCACGGCCTTGAGCCCCTACGGGCACTGAGCGAGCCGTGGCCGCTGGAGGCTCTGATCCCACATCACATGACCCACGCGGGTGCTCCTAGCAGCAACCATTTCGGCGCGGTCAGCTTTCCGAGTTGGGGGTGCGGAGCCAGCCAGTCGCCCAGATGCCCCAGAGCCCCCCGCCCGCGACACACGGCCCTTCTGCTTCCCTGGCTAAAGAGCATCCGACCAGCAGCTCTTCGAGGTCAAGCGCGAGCCCACACTGTTCGTTCCTAACTGCAGACGGGAGTGAGGACAGGACGCGGCTGGGCAGGAAGGGAACCTGGGGCCACGAGGGCTGGCCACACGGCCTGCCTTTCCGCCCCTGACCACGGGGCCCTGTGGCTGGCCATGTGGGCCAGGGCGCCACGGAGCAGGCGAGCCGAGCGGCTGGTCCAGGCAGCGGGGGAATGTGCAGGAAGCAGAAGACTTGGGGGTGACAAAATGAGAACCCCCCCTGGAAAAAGTGACCCCTCAGGCAGATCCCCATTACCGGGCTCTTGGGCTCCGGCGGCTGCTTCGTGTCCAGGTCCTGGGCACCATCCTGCACATCAGCATCGGGTCTCTCACACAGCTCCTCGGTTTCAGACGTGATTTCTTCAGGGCAGAAAACAGAAAAGGCCACGTCACTTGGATGATGACTTCTGCGTTCGCTGCTTGAACGCGCCACCTCGGGCAAGGACAGAATGGGGGCACCCCAGGGGGCGGGTCATAACTGCGGGTTCCCAGGCCGTGCCCAGAGCCACCGCGTGGGCCACGCCGGGGCCTGCCATGGGCAGCCGCCGGCAGGGTCTCCCTGGGAGCCAAGCAGGGGCCACAGCGTCCCTGTTTCCCAAAGAAGCCTTCCCTGGAGGCGCCCCGTCTGCGAGGGCCACCAGAGCGCGTGGCCGCCCCGGCCGGCACCCGCAGGTGAGGCCTCTCTCGTTCCCTCCACGTGCTTTCAAGCATCACAGTCGATGCTGATTTTATGGAAATCACTTTGCTAACGTGTGGCTACACCCACTCGAAGGGGGAACGACCCCAAAGCAGACTCAGAGAAAGCCTCCGGTGAGCGTCTCACCCGTCCCCTGGCGATGTCCGGCCGCCCCGTCAGATCCTGTACCCCAGGCACGCTCCTCGGGGCTGTGGCTGGACGGGACCCAGCCCCCAAGCGGTGACCCACCCGCCCGGGCAGGGCCCGCCCCAGTGCACCTGCCCTCACGGCCCCCCACCCCAGGCCTGCTCTCCGCCCTCCTCCTGCCTGTAGCGCAACCCGGGGGGCTCCCCGGACTCACCCCGGAAGCTGGGCCGTTCCCGCGGCTCCCCGTGCCAGCAGCGCTGCATGAGGCGCACCAGGCTCCCGCAGGCCCGCGGCCGAGCCCTGCACACGGGCGGCAGCGCGGGCCGGTGGCCCTTCACCACCTTCACCATGATGTGCAGGATGTTCTTCTCATCTGCGAAGGGAAGGCCCCCAGTCAGGGCAGCCGTGCGGGGCCACGGCCTCACCCGCAGGAGAGGAGCACGCCTCCCGCACCAGCCACGTGCCGCTGCCCCCCCCGGAGTGCATCCGCCCTCCCTTTCCCAGGCCGCAGGAGCCGGGATGCACTGAACGGAAACCGTGCGTGGACCATGGGACGGGTCTCTCTGGGCTTCAAGCCCGAAGGGAAATGGGGTTCAAAGGAAGAAAGTATCTGACGGGGCATGTTCGGAGGCTGCCCATGCCTGCAGAGGGGAGGCAACCGTACAAATCATGAAGTCACGTGGTCCAGCCTCCAGGTGAACCCAGATCTGCCCGCGATGACGCAAAACCCTTCCGAGGATCTGAGTTTTACCCCGAAGCACAGGCCGCAGGTGCCCATGCAGTGAGGCAGCCACGGCGGCGGCGCCCAGGAGGCCTGACCCCTCCGAGCGCTCTCCCACCCGGGGAGTGTAAACGGGGGGCCCTCTTCTCTTGCAGCTCATAGTGTGGGGCCGCGCCTGTCCTCCGATCCGACCTTTATAACACAACAGGCTCCTCACTATCCGTCTAATCTTGGTCAAAGGCCAAGGGGCCCAAGGTGAGTGTCAGCGGACCGACCTCTCTCTGTGCTCAGCCTAAAACCACAACGTCCATCACGCTGGGCTCCAAGCCCCTGGTTCCCAGCAGCCCTGCCCCCGCGCCAGACCCTGCTGTCCGCAACACGCCCACGGCATGTCCACAGGCGTGGAAAGTTGGCCCCAAGTCGCCGGCGCCTGCTGGGATTCCCGGACGACGGTGCGCCCCGCCTTCCCGTTAAATCTTGTGCAACAGCCGTCTCGGGCATCTGCAAGCTGTTTCCAGAACACTGGCTTCCAGACCCCTGCAGGCCCTCCAAATAACATTCCCCGGGGGGGAGGGGTCTGGGGGACAGATGGACAGATGCCACAGGCCCCCACCCATGCTGGCTCCCGCCCGGAGCCTCCATGAGGAAAGGACCCCGGATCTGGGGCCCCCACGACTCGACTCTGTGTTTTCAGGCAGATTTGGCCAAACCTCAGAACAGTGTGAGTAACCCACACGCGCCCAGAGAGGCAAACGTCGGGGCTGAAAAAGCACGCGACTTTTATGACAAGTCAAGGCATTAGCACTTGGAGGACAGAGCCCAGGACGGTGCCTGCCTGAAGGGGAGGAGACGTCACAACGCTCGTGTGGAAGGAAGGTGACCTGGGGGCACACATTGTGCCCAAATCCATGCGACCGTGCACAGGTGCCCAGCAGCCAGAATGTGCGTCCCAGCCCCGAGGCGTACACCTAAAAGTGGCTGAGACGGTAAGTTGTGTGTATATTTTACCGTATTTAAATTAAAAAAGAGAGAATTAGCTGGAAATAACTGCTTCTGGCAAACCAAAGAGGAAGCAAGCAGACGGTGGTCGTCAGGGGCTGGGGGGGATGGGCACGGGGTTCCCTTTTGGGGTGAGAACTTTCTGGTGCGAGGCAGAGGCGGCACCCCACAGCCATTCGGATTTCAGCCTTTTCTTAGCTGTGACTTACGCTGCGGGACCGTCTGCTGCACAGAGGCCCTGGGGCTCCATGACACGCCGGGCAGGACAGCGCAGCCCCCCGCGGCCCCCTGCCCCCCAGGGTGGCCCCACGGCTTCACGGCCCGCAGCACCCCCCCCCCCGCTGCCCGCCGTGGGAACATGGACCGCAGGCGCAGCTCAGAGAGAGACCGGACCACCCAGAGTGCCCTCCTCTGCCCCAGGACAGACGGACGCGCTTTCCCCGAAGAGAAGTCCCCTCACCTGCGAACGGTTTCTTCTGTGTCAACACGCCCCAGATCACGATGGCGAAGCTGCAGGGAAGACGGCCCGGGTTAGTGTGTGTGAGCCAGAGCCTCAAATAAAGGCAAAAGCTCTCCCACGTGGCAGCGTGCTTAAAGACCACCGCAGTCTTCAAAGGAAACTGGGTGGGGGCTGGAGAGGAAGAGAGAGAAAATAGAGAGGGGGAGGGGGAGAGAAAACAGAGGGAGAGGAAGGGGGAGGGGGAGAAAGAAAGAGATGGGGGAGAGAGAAAACAGGGAGAGGAGAGGAAGGGGGGAGGGAAAAGGAGAGAGAAAACAGAGGGAGAGAGAAAGGGAGAGGGAGGGAGGGAGGGAGGGAGGGAGAGGACAGCACGATGTGTGTCCCGGACTCTAACAGACACCATACAGCAGAGCGCATCACGGAGCGCATCACGGCCACACCGCACACAGCCCACCAGCTGGGCTCCCCGCTCAGCAGCTGTGGCGTATGGGAGGGGGGGACGGGGGGAGGGGTGAAAGGAAACCCCACCCGCTCACGCTCTCAGGGAGAAGGGCCGTGTCTGCCTGCGTCACCCTCACGGCGGGTGACACCGACTCCAACCCGGTGCTGCGAGCGCTCTGCTCGCTGGGGCTTCACCGAGGTTTCTGGAGAGCGAGCCTGGAGAACATGGGGTGGGGGCCGGCTGACCTTCCCAGGGCCCCTGTTTCGGTTGCTGGAGAGAATATTTTCCTTATCTTTGTATGTCGTATATAAAGTTGCTCTGAATATATCCCAAAAAAGCACAATCTAACAAATTAAAAAAAAAAAATCAGGAGTCCAAACAGCGAGGAACCGCCCTGCACGGAGCTCACGTGGCTACTGACAGAAACGCAGGCACTGTCCCTTGACGATGAGTGGGCGTCTGCAAGTTCAAGAGTGACTCGGAAGGAAACCTAGAACCTTATTCTCCCCAAACTCTACGAGCCGTGACAAGCCCACGGAGGGCCGTTCGACGGCGGGCGGACGGCTCGGAGCCCGGCTCAGCAGGCGCGCAAGGGTCCCCGTCAAACCAGTCTGCCAGGACTCCGGGTGCCCGGGGTGTCGAAAAGGCACAGCTCAGTGCTCTGGGGCTGAGGGTCACAGTCACCCTGTGCAGGACAAAGGCCACAGCGAGGGCTCCGGCGCACGCTCCCTCCCTCCTTTCTCCTCCAATTGGTCTGCGTGAGTCAGGCCTTCGCAATTTGGAAAAGGCAGGCACCGCTGACTTGGGGGTGCTTCTCAAGCACGGAAGCGCTGCCGCCGCTGGCCTGTGAGCTGCCCCGGACGTGTCTGCTCCCCTCCGTCAGACACAAGCGACAGGAGAAGCACCAGCCGCTGGGCCAGGGGGAACCGGGTTCCAGGAGTGCAAATCTGCACACGTACAGACACACAGGGCACTTCAAGCGGCAGGCTCCCCCCGCGGACGGGCTACAAACCCCACATCTCGTGTGTAAAACACCGTTGCTTTTACAGTGTGGGAGCTGCCCCAGAACCGTCTCTAACTGGCACCAGCCATTAACATTCTCTACCCCGGGCTCGGCACTCGCAGGGGACACGTGTCTTAGGTACGCCTGCGGCACAGGGGGCCAACGAGCTATGCGCCCCGAGCCCTTTCGTGTGGATCGACCTCGTGTGATGGCCCCTGGGAATCGGGGGGCAGAGCCGCCGCTTGGGCACACACGCACACCTGTCCCACGTGTCACACACCTGTCCCACATGTCACACACCTGTCCCACGCCTGTCCCACCTGTCCCACACCTGTCCCACGCCTGTCCCCTGCCTGTCCCACGCCTGTCCCACCTATCCCACACCTGTCCCACACCTGTCTCCTGCCTGTCCCACCTGTCACACACCTGTCCCACACCTGTCTCACTCCTGTCCCGCCTGTCCCACACCTGTCCCCTACCTGTCCCACGCCTGTCCCACATCTGTCCCACCTGTCCCACACCTGTCTCACTCCTGTCCCGCCTGTCCCACGCCTGTCTCACGCCTGTCCCACACCTGTCCCACCTGTCCCACACCTGTCCCACACCTGTCCCCTGCCTGTCCCACACCTGTCCCACACCTGTCCCACACCTGTCCCATGCCTGTCCCACACCTGTCCCACCTGTGCCCCACCTGTCACACACCTGTCGCACACCCATCCCACACCCATCAACACCTGTTGCACACCTGTCTCACATCTGTCACACACCCATCGCACACCCGTCACACACCTGTCGCACCCCCACCACACACCTGTACACATCGTGCTTGGTGTCGAAGAGCCGGCTCTTCTCCCGGATGCGCTCCGGAGGGAGGTAGGCGATGGTGCCGAACAGGCCGTCCATGCTGAGGCCGTGGGAGTGGGACAGACCGTTGCACTTGGCCAGCCCAAAGTCGGAAATCTGTAACACAGCAGGCGGCCCAGGCTCAGCGGGGCCTCGCTGGGCAAGGCAATGGCTGTACCCACACGTCCCCGCCGGGGGGGATGCGTGGCGCGGTCCTGATGCCGGCTTGCGGGCAGCGTCAGGGGCCCGCCCCTGAGAGCCGTGGCCCTCCGGGAGGACAGGAAGGCCCGGCCGGCTCGGAAGACACAAGACGTGCCCTGACGGACAGGGACCAGATTGTTGGCGGGGAGGCTGACCGGGGGCAGATTCACCGCCTCCTGCGGGCACCACGCGTGCTGGGGGACAGCCCGCGGCGGCCCAGAGGGGAAAGCGCCGCTCAGAGCTGTCAGGCTGTCAGGTAACGGGAGAAGCAGGCCAGCGGCTGTGCTGGGGCCGCACTGGGGAGGCGGACTGGCTGCAGTCTGTTCTTTAAAGGGAAACGTGCCTCCAGACGCCCTTTCAAATTTCCATTTTTTTGTTAATGTTTATTTACTTTTGAGAAAGAGAGAGAGAGACACAGTGTGAGCAGGGGAGTGGCAGAGAGAGAGGAGACACAGAATCCGAAGCAGCTCCAGGCTCCGAGCTGTCAGCACAGAGCCCGACGCGGGGCTCGAACTTGTATGAACCGTGAGATCGTGACCTGAGCTGAATTGACGCTTAACCGACTGAGCCCCCAGACGCCCTTTAAAGCAAACAGAACGCATACCACACGCACAACCTCAAGGGGCACTCTGCCCTCGCCTGGACCGGGAATGCTTTCTGACAGACAGGAACTCACTGGCTCCTTCACCAAATGCAAGGCCCCCCGGAAAAAAAGGGAGACCACCCACTGAAGGCACACCCGGATCCCCACTGTGCAGGCCCCACACCTCCGCCCCCTCTTCTCCTTCGGGCTAAGGTGTCTGGAAAGCTCAGGGGACCCCACAGTGAGGGAGACAAAACCATCACGGACTCCCTGGGGGGCGCCGGCGGCCCCCAGCTCCCAGCTCCCCCATAAGTCAGAGCCCCGGGAAGCTGGCGGACGCGCTGTGTGTGGGGTTGGGTCACACTCACTGCCATAAAGGGACTTGGGACCCACAAGGAAAACTGCCCCTCTGTCTTCCTCTCTGAGGCTCAGGAGTTATTCTGAAGCCTTCTAAGGACCCCCAGAGCTTCTCCTCAAACACACCCATGGAGGGACAGCAAGGGGGCCCATTGGGCTTCACTTCTGGGCGCACCGAGCCCTCAGCGTGAGCCCACAGCCTGGTGTCATCACCGAACACGGGGGATCTCTGGCCACGCCTGCAGGCAGCTGAGGGAGCCTGCGGGACTGGGCCAGGTGTCCCCCGGGACAGGCGCCCTTCACCTTCCCTGCCCAGCTGGACGAGGCCAAGGAAGGGCGCGGCCAGGACTGTGCTGGCCAGAGAGAAAGGCCTTTCACACCACAGGAGAACAGGGCCCTCAGGGACCCTCAGGGTACAGTCTGGGCACACTGGACAGAAGCAGCTTGAGATTTTAAACTCAGCTATTTCAGGAGGTGCCCGGCTGGCTCGGTTGGTGGAACATGCAATTCTTGATCTCAGGGTTGTGAGCTCAAGCCCCACATGGGGTGTGAGGCCTATTTAAAAAACAACAACAACAACAATAAACTAAGCTGTTTCATTTTCAACTTGAAACGGGTTTCCTCCACTGATGTTTAATTTAGTTACTATTAATCTCAGTATTAACTTAAGTCTCTAGAATACACTTTGCAAAGTAGGTAGTCGCTGTGAAACGTTCAGCTCTTAGCATGTTTTCCGTGTCGGGAAAGGTAGACTGGGAGGGCCCAAGGGGAGAGGGTAAGTTCACGACTTAGGATCTCATCTCAAGATTCCAGACTAAGGTTTTATGGCTTCCAATCACCGCAGACGGAAGAGCGAGCAGCAAGCCTGCGGCCAGTCACCTCCGAGCTCCGGGCCGACACCGCCCTCCACACTGCCCTCTGGGAAGGAGGAAACGTGCTCTGCGAAGTGTTGTTTGTCTGGGGCTGAGTGTGGTCACAGAAAAGCAGCACGGCCGGGGGCTCTCAGGGAGCTGGGGAAGTGACGGGGTCCCTGCCCTTGCTGCCAGCTCCGCCCTTGGTCACCTCAGGCTCCTTACAAGGTTGAGGGTTGAGGTTCGTCCCAGAGCGGCAAGGCTCCACCCCCCCCCCAAGTCAGGAGTTCCCAAGGGGAGGGAGGAAACCGCGTGTAAGTGGAGGAAGCTCAGAGCGGGAGCAGAAATGACGGAGCGGGAAGGCGCCCCCCGCGCCCCACTCGGAGAACAGCACTCCTTGCCCCGCTGAGTTTCCTGTGGGCCCCACACCCGAGACGCTCCCCAGGTGGAGGCCACATCGCTGCATGCAAAGGACGACTATGTGGCCCAGCACGGCCCCGGGGCCAGGCCCTGAGCCACCAGCACCCTCTCTTCCCTGACCGCTCACAACACAGCAGTACGACCCCCACCCACCAGGTGACAGAGCTGGGGCCGTGCCCGCAAGCAGGGCACTTAGAAGTGCCACTTCCTCCCCTGCCCACAAGCAGGGCACTTAGAAGTGCCACTTCCTCCCCTGAAGGACACCCACAGCCCCAAGCGTCCCACGTGACCTGCCCAAGAGCGGAGGGGAGAGTGGAAAGCAAACAGTGGAGATAAAAGCCCAGCCGGGCCAGCCCCGCCCCTGCCCCTGCAGGCACCTCAGGGACCCAGCCTGTGTGCCTGGTGGTGCGCACACAAAGGTGGCCTCTCTAGGACAGGCCCCTTCCCGGCAGCCTCCTTCACGGCAGCCTTCAGAACCCCCCACCCTGATCTGCCTCAGCCCCCTCCTTCCCCTCCCTCGACAAAACCTAGACTTTTCCATGACTCTTCTGCCTGTGCCCCCCTCCCCCACTCCTGAGAGTAGCAAAGGCTGATTGCTCTGAAGACCCGGCCCCGCCCAGTTACATCCCCATCCCCAGCTGGGGTTCCAGAAGGAGGCCCTCCCCCAGCCCACCTATGCTGGCCCCTGTGTGACATCCACGGGCCACACGCTGTTTGTGGACATCTCACACGCAGCAGCCTGACTGAAGCCTCAGCTGGACGCCCACAGGCCCGACCCTGGCCTCAGCCCAGCGGCTGCTCCTCTTTCTTGGGTATATTCAAGCCTGAGATCACAAGCTTCATTCTTGGGGCACCCGGGGGGTCGGGGGGTCGGCTGTAGCTTAAGCCTCCGTTTCCTGGGCTCAGCTCAAGTCATGATCTCACGGTTCACGGGTTCGAGCCCCACCTGCTGGGCTCCACGCTGGCAGGTGCAGGGAGCCTGCTGGGGATTCCCTCGCTCTCCTTCTGTCTCTGCCCCTCCCCCACTTGCACTGTCTCTGTCTCTCTCAAAAGAAACAACCTTGAAAAAGGAAAAAAAAAGGCGTCCCCCTTCCCTTGGTGTCGACAGGAGCGCACACCCCTTGCAATGCCCCTGGCACGTCAGCGGGGGCAGAAGGCCCGCCAGAAGGAAACACGGCCCCAGCGAAGACGGAACCCCATGGCCCCCGTTCGGACCAGGAGAGCACGTCGTGTTTCTGAGCGACACCCATTCACAGGACGGTCTGCAGTCACTGTCCAACATGGACATCAGTCTCCCCATCTGCCTCGGGCTGGCCGGGCTGCTGCAAAGTTGGGGCGCAGTGAGCTGCCCGTGCGCGCCCCCTAGTCCCACCTCTCCATGCAGACAGAGCCCAACGCCATGGCCACACTGCACTCAGCTCCTTCCCACCCCCCAGGCCAGCAGGGGAGGAGACCCTGCAAGCGACCTGCGCTGCGGCCAACCAGGAAAGTTCCCGCAGGGCACAGGAAAGGACGCGGGCCCTTCTCACTCACTCACAGGCCAGCACACAACCCTGGGCCTCTGCACCCTGTGGAGACAGCCGGTGACATGTGGCTCCCCTGGTGGCAACGACAGAACCCAGAACACTAAGGCCTTCTAGAAAGGCATGTTCAAAGACACACCAACCAAGGGGCGCCCGGGGGCCTCAGCCGGTTAAGCGTCCGACTTCGGCTCAGGTCACGGTCTCACGGTTCATGAATTCGTGCCCTGCATTGGGTTCTGTGCTGACAGCTCAGAGCCTGGAACCTGCTTCAGATTCTGTGTCTCCCTCTCTCTCTGCCCCTCCCCCACTCACACCACTCTGTCTCTGTCTCTCTCAAAAATAAACATCAAAAATTTAAAATCAAAACGAAAAGCATACCAGCCTGACAACGTTCCTCACTGTACCCCGGGTGGCGGGCACCTGGGATTCAGTTCTGCCGTCCTCGTATTCCGCCGTGTTTTATAAACTTATCCAAAAATAATAATAATGATGGCAGACCTCAGAGGCCTCGCACAAGAACAGAATGAGGCCCCTCTGAGGTGTCGTTCTGTGGCACCCCCCACGCCCCGCCACCGCCATCCCTGAGAGCATAGGTGGGGGTGCAGCCCTAACCGCAGAGCCCGCAGTCTCACCCACATCGGACCCCTACCCGGCTTCCACGAATGTCCAGTAAGACCAGAGGCCACAAACCCATAAGCTCTTTCTTCCCAGGGTGCCCAGAATTTAGGCCCGCGCTCCAGGATCTGGGGGGGTAACCGTGTGCACAAGGGTCCATCTCCCAGCCACACGGGGGGTCGCTGGAGAACTTTGTCCTCCCCCCGCCTCACTCGGAGCCTTCACCCCTGCGGCTGCCTGGGCCCCGGGTAAGTCCTACCTTGACGTGGTAGTGGGCGTCCAGCAAGATGTTGGCGGGCTTGAGGTCCAGGTGGAGGAGAGGCGGGGACATGCAGTGCAGGAAGTTCATGCCCACGGCCGTCTCGTGGACGATGCGGAAGCGCAGGTCCCACGGCAAGGGCTCGGACGCCAGCAGCTTCTCCAGCGAGCCGGTCTCCATGTACTCCATCACCAGGCCGACGGGCTCCCGGCAGATGCCGTACACGGGCAGCACGTAGCGGAACTTCGCCATCTCCATCTTCTTGGCTTCTTCCAGAAGCTCTACACGCTCCCTGAAAGAGTCGGGAGACGTGAGGTGTGTGCGGTGCTCGCTGAGGCCCCGACGCCGGGTGGGGAGAGGCGTCCCAGTGTGCACAGGGGAATGGCTGGGCCACTGAGCTTGGGCATCGAGGCTCGCCAGCCCTCCCCCGGGGGGAGGGAACAGCAGCTCCCGTGTGACTGAAGCCAAAACGAAGTGTCCATCCAAAGAACCCAACCCACCTTCCCCGTTGAGCTCAACTCGCCAGCCCCACACGGGTGCTAGGGGGGGCGTCAGTGGGTGACCCACCTTTTTCGTTGTAGTAAAATATACGTTAGGTGATCACGTTCACCATTCCTCAGCGTACGGTTCAACATCACGTGCACTCGCAGGGCCGTACCGCCACTGCCACACTCCACACCCAAACCCTGTTCCCCGACCCAGCAGACACCGTGTCCCCCGTCCACAGGAGCCCCTTCCTCCTGGCCCTGCTCACCCCTCACCCACTCCATCTCTATGAACCTGTGTACGCGCCTCACATAAGTGGAGTCACACGGGATTTGTCCTTCTGTCCCTGGCTCGCTTTTTTTTTTTTTAATTTTTTTAACGTTTATTTATTTTTGAGAGCCAGAGCATGAGCGGGGGAGGGGCAGAGAGAGAGGGAGACACAGAATCTGAAGCAGCTCCAGGCTCTGAGCTGTCAGCACAGAGCCCGACGCGGGGCTCGAACTCATGGACCACGAGATCATGACCTGAGCTGAGGTTGGAGGCCTAACCGACTGAGCCCCCCCGGCACCCCGTCCCTAGCTCCTTCACCCAGCATCTCAGCATGATGTGATCTGGGTTCAGCCACATCGCTGCACGTGTCAAAACCTCATTGCTTTGTACGGCTGCTCAGTACCCGCTGTGTGAACACACTGTATATGTCCAGTCGTCCGCGGACGGGCCCCTGAGCTGCTGGGAGTGATGCCGTGTGCCTGCACGCATAGGCGTACAAACATCTGCTCACTTTCAACATTCCAGGCTACACACCCAGAACAGGATGACATGGGCCACGTGGTGATCCTATGTCTCACCTCTTCAGAAACCACCAACTACCGCGCACAGCCTGCCTCCAGTCCTATAAAGAACATACCGGAAGAAGGTCTCAGCCATTCACGCCACGCGGGCTGTGGCTGCTTCCTGACCCAAGGCCAAGACCAGCAGGTATGGTATAGAGGCTCTGGTCTGCAGATCTCAAACGTTTCCTCCTGGCCCTGCACAGAAAGTGTGCCGGCCCCCGGTCTAGGGTCGCTTTGTGGTGCAGCCCCTGGACTCAGATTAGAACCTCCATATCCTGGTCTGTGTTCACATCATGGGGCAAAAGTCCCAGAGTGTATTCAGGAAAAGGGGCTGAATCACATAAGGAGGGGGCTCGACCACATGCCAGCCAGGTCAACGGCTGTCAAAGCTGGACGCGGCAGAAAGCAACCCCAAACAGTCTGAGATGAAGATTCCCAGCCTCCATTCCCACGTTCCCCGACAGGACCCCAGCCCCTCTCACCCCCCCATCCAGCACCTGCATTTGGGAGCCTCGTGTGAGCATGTGCCAGGAAGCTGTGCCATGGGCGTGTCGGAGAGAATCCCTGAGTGTAGACCAGTGATTCTCACGTAGGGACAGCTTTGCCCAGCAGGGACACTGAGCGCTGTCTGGGACATTGTGGGCGTCATGACTCGGGGCCGTGACGGGCATCCAGTGGGTAGAGGCCAGGGAAGCTGCTTAACGATCCACGACACAGAGGACTGCGCCCAAGACAGAGCTGCCCAGCCCCAGGCGCGGGCCGTGCCAAGCCGAGGAACCCCATATAGACCGAGCCAAGTGCATCTCGGCCAAATTTAAAGTAAACCGTCACACTCGGGAATTGCCCACTAGGTACTCCCAGCGTTTATTTTACTTTTAATCTGTTTCTGTGGTTAACAGATACGCAACAAGGGAGCCACGGACACCTGATGAGGAGAGGACAGTCTTCTGGGCAGATGGCGCCTGGAAAACTGGTGAAACCACGCAGAACAACGGAACTGGGACCTAGTTCACAGCGCTCACAGAAATTAACTCAAAATGGGCCGAAGTCTTAAAAAGAAGACCTGAGACCATAAAACGAGAAGAAAGCGTTGGGAGAAGCTCACTGATACCCATCTTGCCAATGATCTTTTGGACATGATGCCTAAAGCACAAACAACAGAAGCAAAAATCAGCAAATGGAACTAAGTCAAACTCAAAAGCTTCTGCACAGCAAGGAGAACCGGGAACAGAATGAAAAGGCAGCCTACAAAACGGGAGAAGAATTTCGCAAACCGTGTATTGGATAAGAGGTTAGTATCCACAATAGATAACAAACAAACACAACTTAGTTAAAGAAGAAAAAATCTGAGTTGAAAACGGGCAAAGAAGGGCGCCTGGGTGGCTTAGTCGGTTAAGCGTCCGACTTTCGCTTAGGTCATGATCTCGCGGTTTGTGGGTTCGAGCCCCGCATCGGGCTCTGTGCCAACAGCTCAGAGCCTGGAGCCTGTTTCAGTCTGTGACTCCCTCTCTCTCTGACCCTCCCCTGCTCACGCTGTCTCTCTCTCCTAGAAATAAATAAAACATTAAAAAAAAAAAAAAGAAAGAAAATGGGCAAAGAACTCAGCAGACATTTGTCCGAAGAGGGCGTCACGACGGCCAGCAGGCACCTGAGCAGATTCTGAACATCACTAACCATCAGGGAAACGCAAACACAAACCACAGAGAGATATCACCTCACACCTGTCGGAATGGCTGTCATCGAGAAGAGAGAGAAACGGGCTGGCGGGGACGCGGAGAAGAGGGGAACCGAACCCTTCCACGCTCTTGGCAGGAATGTAACTCGATGCGGCCACTATGGAAAACAAAACCAAGGGTCCTCCAAAGAGTTAAAACAGAACCACGATACAAGGCAGCAATTCTGCTGCTGGGAATGTACCCAAAGGCGATGAGAACAAGATTTCTACAGGATCTCTGCACACCCATGTTTATCACAAGAGCCAAGCTGTGGAAACAACCCAAATGCCCGACAACGGATGAATGGATAAAAAAAAAAGGTGTGGTGCATATACATAATAGACTATTATTCGGCCGTGAGAAAGGAGAGGTATCCCCAGGGCGCCTGGGGGGCTCAGTCGGTTGAGCGTCCAACTCTTGATTTCGGCTCAGGTCATGATCTCGCGGTTCTTGAGATTGAGCCCACCATCGGGCTTGGATTCTCTTCCTCTCTCTCGGCCCCTCCCCCACTCGCTCTCGCTCCCTCTCAAAATAAATTAAATTAACATTAAAAGAAAAAGAAGGAAGATATCCTGCCATTTGCAACAACTAGACGAACCTTGAGCACATTATGCTGAGCGAGCTACGCCAGAGAAAGTTCTGTATGACATCACACCTATGTGGAATCTAAAAACGACAGAATAATTGGTGGTTCCCAAGAGAAAGAGGGGCAGAAAAGACTGATGGTGTTTAAGGGTACACACTTGTTTTTTAATTTTTATTTCTTTTATTGTTTTATTTATTTCTAAGTGAGAGAGAAAGCGTGAGCAGGGGAGGGCCAGAGAGGGAGGGAGACAGAATCTAAAACAAGCTCCAGGCTCCGAGCTGGCTGTCAGCACAGAGCCCGACGCAGGGCTTGAACCCACGAACCGTGAGATCATGACCTGAGCTGAAGTCGGACGCTTAACCGACTGAGCCCCCCAGGCGCCCCTAACGGTACACACTTGCAACAAGTGCCAAACAGCCATAAACACACAGTTGATTCAACACAGACAATAAGTATGTAACAGGACAAGTATCGCTCCAGTCGCCACCATATTACAACACGTATCAAAGTGACCCAGTATTCACCTTAAATCTACACAATGTTACCTATGAAATGCATCTAATAAACAAATATTTAATCTGAAAAACACAAAAAAGTTCATCTGTTTTTCCTGGAGAATGCGTTCCTGGGGAACATGCTGTCTAATAAACTCCTCAAGGAAAAGTCTAGAATCACAGGCCAGACATGCCGTACTGCAGCTGGGAACTGAGCACACCCAGCGTCTGCACACCGCCATGCAGGCGACAGGCCCGGCTGGCCTCAGGAACTCCCCCCCAAATGCCGGTTCGGGCACCAGCAGCCCAGGGCCCACCACAGGGGCTTCTCCTGGAAGCACCTGCTCCTGACTCCCCCCCGCCCCCACCCTGCACCTGCTCCCACTCGGTGGCCTGATGGAGAGTTCGCCACTGTACCAACCACATGAATCCATTTCTTGCTCATTTGACGTCCTCTCGGAGACTGCACGCGGCCAGGATTCCCACACCTGTATGAAAACGTTCGGCAGGGAGGAAGGCCGGCCGGCAAGGGGAGCCCCGGACCGCACTGTTCATCAGAGCCTCAGCACCCACGGCCTGCCTGCGCCCAGCACCTGCGCTCTCTCAGCTCCAGGCAGAGCGCGCGTGGGGCAGACACGGCACATTCTGACGGAGCATCAGTGAGACGAGATCGGTGATGCATGTGGAGGAGAGAGAGGGGGCAAGGGGACCCAGATCTCCACCAGGAGCCTCCGGGCGGCCCCTGCTCTGCACGAGGGGGAGCATCCGGGAGAAGGGGAGAGGTCGGTTTTGGACACACTCACAGAGGCAAAGAATGCCACTGGCCTTCGAACAAGAGAAACACATCGGGGATGAAGCAGTGTGTGACTGTAAAACAAAACTGAGTTTAGCACGGCTTGCTTTCTTGCCATTCTGGTTCAAGGGCCAATTGATGGGAAGCAAAACGCCCACAGGAGTGCGGTGCTGGGGGGGGGGGGGGGGGGGGGGGGGGGGGGGGGGGGGGAGGGTCCCTGGGCAGGGCCGAAGAGCGGCTCCTCCCCTCGGCCACACAGAGGCAGACCCCAGCCCTGTGCCGGGTCTCCACAGGCAGCTAAACACAGGAAAGGCTCAATGTCAGCATCAAGCACCGTTAAAAAGCCTGTCATCTTGGGGCGCCTGGGTGGCTTAGTCGGTTAAGC